GGAGAGTCCTAGTTTCAAGTTCTTATTCAGCCTACAATTTTGGTCACATTTGGGCTCACCTCAGCTTCTTGGTAAATTGCTGGCCCTCTTCCCTCAGTATGACATGTTCAGGCTAGAAAGTTAAGGCAAATTTCAGTGCTAAATAATAGCATAAATGCTATGCTTGCATTGCTTTAAGTGCTACTTACACAGACATTTGGTTTGTGATCTTTTCTCTAGGCCTTCAATTTTCTTTCTCAGTGTATTATGAAGTGTATTAAGAGTGCAGACCTAGTGATAGTATCAGATCTGCCTTTTGTTAAGGGAACGTGCATGCGTGATCTGAAGTGAGAAGGAAGGGCTGAAAAGAAGAAGAATGCTTCTCTTAGGTGTATGCACGCAGTCCTGACATAACAAGATTTTTTTTTTAAAGGACAAATAGTACTGGATTCAAAAATGGAAATTGGAATTTTGTGTGCAGTATTTTTAGTGCTTGAAAAAAATTCAGAAAGCTTCCAGTTAATCTAATAAGTAGTGCAAAGCAAATAAAGTTATTCTTCTTACAAATTAGAGTAATTTTAGTGTACTCTTTGTCAATTTATTGTATTTAAATTTTCATTCTTCTTTTCAGTAGTTGGCTAGAATTCACTTCCAGCTGACCCTAGATAACTATGCTCATTAGGCTTAAGAAAAAAAGACTTTTCATTTTTCTTGTACATGGAATACCTACTCAAGTAAAACTTTTTTTATACAGTCTTTTTTTTTTTTTCTGGCTAATAGTTTAACATGTCTACACCTGCAGAGATTTGAATGTTCGTTAATCCTGTTTAAATAATTTTCTTTGTTGCAGAGAGCTTTAGGTAAATTAAGAGGTTTTATAGTCAAGCTATGTTGACCGCTAACAATAAATACGTTTTATAAGTTACGTTTAACACAATGACATGTAAGCAAGTGCTCATGTATTTGCATGATTTGTTAGATCTTAAACGTAGGCCCTACAGACAAGTTTGAAGTGGGTTGCTTTCCAAAAATTAATCCATTGCCGATATATCGGTCTCTAACTGTGTGGTACTTTATGTAGTACTTCCAAAGAAGATAACGGCTTATGCCCTTGACAAGCAACTACGATTGCATGTCATTTTAGCTTAAGGATCTATACAGTGCTACTCCTTTGCAGCACCATTAAATGAATGCTTACAAAAAATAAGCAATTAGATTATAGTGCTAAAAATCATTGCAGTGCTGTACATGCTTGGTTTTTTTCCTTTCTTGAATTCCTTGAGAACCTTTTCCTGTTCAATGGAATGGAAAAGAGGTATTATTTAGAGTTGATAACCAAGCAGGTTCCTTGTGCCTGTATTCTGAAGTTACTGGAGCAGGATTTTAACATGGCACATGAATGTAATCTTACACCCCAGGAAAGACAAGATTTCTTGTCTTCTGTCTACAGCTATTGCAAAAGTCTGTTCTGTTCTGTCTCGCTGAGTGCAGTAACCCCAATGTGAGATTTCAGGCAAGAGAAAAGACTTGTGTTTATTTCCAGTGCCACAACTATTTTAACTGTTTTTCTGTGCAAGTGTGGCAAGTCATAAGTGGGCTGCGAAATGTGGTGCTGCTTGCTGCTGAAGAAAGATCAATTGCCGTTCTTCTTTGTATCCCACTGTTTCATGTTATGTGAGCAAACTTTTATATACCGTTGAAGGGACTGGGTAGGAGTAGGTTTTGCCTAACAAATCAAGATTGTTTGCATGACGCTTTTATCTTGAGTGCTAAGCTCTGCAGAGTTCAGCTGCCTTTATAAGCCTAGTTTTCGCTTTGGCAAAAGCCACAAGGGCAAAGTAAATTAAGTTTTTTCTGTCACCACTGGAAAGAAAGAGATGCTCGCAGCCCTTTCCACTGTGTGTGTAACCAAAACATATTGCTCATGCTTACTAACGCTTTCATTTCTAAAGCTGTAAGAGGTTTTTATTTTCAAAAGTGGAAATGGAGTCCTTAAAATCTGTCAGTCTCTGCTATGTAATTGAGTCTTCAACCAGTTGGTCTGGTAGTCTGATTAGTCATTTGAAAGCGTGTAAACAAAATCTTACTGTATAGAACTGCACAGAGTTTTCCTTCAGCATTCAGTTGGCAGATTGTATAAGATCTTTCTGTCCTTTGTATGTATCGCATCTTGTTTTGGGGCAGGGAAAGCTTTCTTCCCCTTTCCTTGCGTGCCCCCCTCCCCCTGTTTTAGTTGTGTTAACTTAAACACTTACTCCCTGTAGTTCATCTATGAACTGTAATGTTTAAGCTTGGTTTTGATGGATGAGTGAAATTACAGTCTTATGAAAGAAAACTCTGTTGTTGTCAAATTAAAACTTTCCCTCTTCAGTATTTTGCTGGCACAATATACACGTAGCACTTAGAAAATGGCATTTTTAATTGGCTGTGATGTACTTCAACTTTTTTTTTTTTTTTTTTTTTTTTTTTTTTTTAAATAGTAGGCTGTTTCAAAACATTGCACTGGATTTGTTTGTTTGAAAAGTCAGGAAAAAGCAATGTTTAACCTGTATAAACCTGCAGATCATTACTGGGGTCCCTTTCTTCAAAACCTTCAACTATGTAGTCTTCTGAATGTTGTCCAAGTGTTTTATGTGCTTAATAAAAAGAGCTTGTGAGGAGTTTTCCATGTTTCAAAACATTGCACTGGATTTGTTTGTTTGAAAAGTCAGGAAAAAGCAATGTTTAACCTGTATAAACCTGCAGATCATTACTGGGGTCCCTTTCTTCAAAACCTTCAACTATGTAGTCTTCTGAATGTTGTCCAAGTGTTTTATGTGCTTAATAAAAAGAGCTTGTGAGGAGTTTTCCATATGTAAAATGCACTGACCCTATCTGCTGTAGCGGACAGCCTAAGTTCACTAGTTGGTGTGGGAAACTGTTACCCATCCACTGATCCTGTGGTATCTTTGCAGTGTAAGTGATTGGTAGGGAGGAGCTGCTTGTTAGGGGACTGCTGCTGAAGATCTGCGTGTGGAAGGACATCCTGAGAAGCAGCATGTACTATCGGGTTGGCTTCAGGGCTGAGAGGTGTGTGTAGGCAGGATGTTGTAGCTGAGTGGATATTGTGTATATTTTATGTGTATGCATACATGCATATATATGTGCACACACATACAAAAATATATATATATATATACACACACGTGTGTATTTATTACAAAATTATATAGCTTACTCTTAAGTACGAGCTGGTAGTGTGGTAGCATGAACGCAGATGTCTTTTCAGATCTCCCAATGACAAAAAAAAGTATAGGCTGCTGGAAATTAAAATCATCAGTATCCTTGTGAAACAGGTTTGAGACAAATGAAAATGTGATCGTCTTTGCTCCAAGATGAGTATGAAGAACCTGAATGTTTGATTAAAGCTGTTCCAGATCAAGCACTTGTCTCTATTGTAGGTCACTTGTTTTCATACCTCTCCCCCACTCTTGCGCCAGTGCAACTGTTTGTAGCTGAGTGATGATTTGGATAAGTGAACTGATCTGCCTTAAATTACTTAAGTCTTTATCTTGATTTGGTTTAGACAGTGCTGTGACTGAATATGTAACCGTAGCTAGAGGATGAAATTATGTTACAGCAGTATCTTTCAACCTGTAAAACGTGCACTGCTGAAGCAGAGGTGGAGCAAAGCACTCTTGTCCCTCAAAGTTACTTACTGTTATGAGATGCCAGAAGATTCATGACTGAAAGGAGGTGGAGTCTAGAAAAGGTTGAGCAGTAGTGAGTCGGAGCTAGGCGAGGGTTCTAGTACAAACGCAAATTCATTTTTCATGTAAAACCCCCTTTACTCATCTCTCCCTGCTCCTGGTCTGGATTTGACAGTTTTAGGGTTTAACACTGTAGACTGAATAGATTTGGATTAATGATTTCAGAAATTGATTTTGACTTCAGTCTGCAATTTTTAATTAAAAACCCCTAGTGGTAGGTGTTTTTTTTTTTTAATTATTATTTTAAATATCATATAAAAGACGTGATTTAAAACCACAATAAACCATGTGGCAATGTGTCATGCTAGGCAAATTGTTCCTTGCAGTTTTTTTGCCTCAATGAGAACTGATAAGGACAAGCATGCCTCGAAGTGCTGTACAGCTAATGAGAGGCATTTGAAACAAAATGGAGCAATCCATTAAAACCTGCATAGTGTGTTGCACAACTGTAGAGAAGAGAGAACTTGTCTAAGTGCCTCTATATAGGCTAGAATGGAAAGTGTCACGTTATCGTTAAATCCATGCACGATAACTATGCTTGTAATTCTTCTTCAGATGTGAGATCAAAGTTAATCTAACACCTCCAGAACAATTAAATGTATTAGAGAAACACTGTGGTTGTGTGGCCACTGTTCTACCTACTTCTGTTTTGATTGAATGTTTGCTGTATGCTGTAAAATGAGTGTATAGGTGTGGAAGTATTTCTGACAAACACATGTCTAATTTTGTTTATAGTAATAACAGACATTCCACAAAGGATGATCTCTATCCTAATGGTTTATTATATAGTGATACATACAGTCTTGTGGTAGAGCTGCTGTACTGTATCTTGTAATAGTTTTGGGTTGAAACAAGACATAAGAGTTTCTTCATAGGTATGTTACTGCTCAATAAATCAGAGCAAATACTATTTGCTTTAACAGGAGATAATTTAATCAAAGCATCTATTTTAGCCTGATTTTCAGTAGTCGCTTTTGCAGCATACTGTAAGAGCAAATAACTGTTGTGGCCTGATTGCCTTTTTCTGACCTTTATTGCTGGTGTTCCTTACAACAGTAATATTGAAGAAACCACGACAGACTGGGATCTTTTGGTGTGCTTTCTGCACAGAGGAGTGGCACGGAAGAGGGGAATTTACAATTTTAAGCAGTTTAATAAAATAATAAAAAACCCCTAAATATCAGATCTTGTTTATACTTTGGAAATAGTATATTTCAGAAAATAGACACCTTAGCATCACTAATAAACTTTTACTTGTTTTCCTTTGTACAGGAAATGGTGACAGAGTCCACTCCGTTACGTTGTAGAAAGCTCAGCAATCCGGACATCTTTTCATCTGCTGGGAAAACCAAGCTCCATCGTCAGCTAAGTCAAGATGACTGCAAGCTGCGGAGAGGTAGTTTGGCGAGCTCTTTGTCAGGTATGCCATTTTGTGAAGCCTGTGTGACATTGTTTGCTGTCTTACTTGTTTGCATAACAATTGCGATTGAATATACTGATACTGTGATCGTGGAGCATAGTCCAGTAGTTAGCCAAAAACTGGAGGACCAAGCTCAACAGCTTCCTTTCTCAAACACTTTGTGGGCTGGGGGATGGTTTCACAATTGTTTAAAACTTACATCAAAGTATATCATATGGGCATTAGAGCATACAGAGCTGCATTGATCAGCTTGGAATCAAATAGCTGATCTGCTTGAATGCCACTCCTGTTCTGTAGGATTAATTTTCAGCCGGTTTCCTTCCTAATTAGACTGATTGCCTATTTACACGTTAGTGCATGGCAATGTAAAGCAAACAAGAGGAAGCAGGAAAGCTAGAGAAGTTTCGTTCCTTTTTATAGGTTTTTTTTTTTTTTAAACTGCTTAGATATAACATTCAGAACAAAAAACTTACAAGAACTGATAATGTTCTCCATAGCTTATTGCTACATCTTAATGACTTTTCAAGCTACTATAACCTGGTATATGAAGGGGGAAAAGAGCCCCAACAAGATAAGTTTGACTCAATTAGATAAAGGAGATGTAGATATTTAGATGTATATTAAGTGCAAGTATTAAGAACATCTGTGAGATCTGAAGTGCGGTAGGGAAAGGCTTCCACTTGTGGGACTAAAAGGAGATATTTGTAATTGTAGATTATGGAGAATTAAACAATATTGTACTTATTCTCTTAAGCACGGGTGTTTTTAATGGTTTAATAATTATATACTTTGAATTGGTATTACAGGACCTCTTTGTTAGTGCTTTACTGAGATAAATACAGCAGCATACATTTCTGTAGTTTTAGATCTCTGCAGAGAAGAAGAATCACTGTATTTGCAAATAACCTTGGTAAAAAGCAAACCATGAAAATCATGTCCACAGCTGTAAGCTTGAGTGGGACTGAGGAAAAGGCACTCATACGCTGTGTCTCTTTGCTAGCAGAAGTTGAGCTTTTTTGTCTCATACACTTTGACTTATTCCATTAATGTATTTTTGATACGTTGCTCATAACTTTCACAGAGAATTAACATAAATAATAAAAAAAATCCATGGAACCATGGCTAATGGTGTTGTGTGGCAGTCTTCCAAATATTGTAGCTGTTTTTACATGCTGAATATTTGTAATATTTCTCATATAGTTCTAAGGTCAAATTGAAAAATTTGTAGAAAAATAGGTTTCTGCCTCTGAGAAAAAAGTATTTTCTGCAGTATATGTGATTAAAGATGTAGAGTTCTTCCTGCTGCTCATTGCAGCAAATGTCTTGCCATCTCCTGTGATCCTTATTGTCATATCTGAGCACATAATAATCTTTGGAAGGCAGTGGTCTTCACCATGCTTTGAAGGGGGATACTGTTACAGAATTATATTACCTAATCTTTCCTTTTCCCATCTATAAGTAAGCGTCTCCCACTATGTCTCACACTATTTCACTGTTGGAGATGAGGCCTGTCCTAGGCTGGTGCCGTAATAGCAGGCCCAAGTTTCATTTTTGTGTTTTGCAAACAGAAATTTGTTTAGTCTGACAGTCCGGGTTTTGAGGAAAAGAGGTATTATTCACTGCCATTTAAACAGATGGTGAAACTGAAGTACAGAGATTGGCTGACCAGAGTTGCAGGGGAAGTCATTTGGAAGCTAATAATGGAACCCAGATTTACAGACTTTCTCAGTCATGTGTTTTAGCCACAAGACTATCTTTCTTCTCTTTTTTGTGAATGACATAATTGTACACATAATTGGACACTGCCAAGCTTGATGGAGTGAAAATATGACTAGCTTTAACTTTAGTTCTTTCTCTTTGCGGAAATTTACTGCTTGACATTTTTCAAAAAGGAGTATTGTATTGACTAGAAAAGAATGTATTGAGCAGATCCTTTTAAATGATTACTGTACTTTCTGCAGTAAGGTACAGTGGTGTGAACTTGTAGAGGTAGGAACTACCTTTCACTCTGCTTGTGTAGCTCCACTTTCTTCTCAGAACTTGGTGATAACAACTTGATTGCATGGGAGATTAGTGTCTATACTAATTAATCAAATATGAAGGAGATTTAGGAAAGCAAAACTACAGAAATGTTTTGCTTTTAGGATAATATGATGTTGCCGAGTAGTGAATTTTCTTTTAGAAAAGATCTATCCATAGTTCAAAGCAAAATGATGTTTAAACATATATTATATTCTGATCACAGCTGCAGGAAACCTACTGCTGAGTGTTGCTGTGGTAGGGGAAAATGGGGCTGTCTAGATGGATAAGCTGTTTAGAAGATGTAATATCTTAAAATTATGAATGTGTTTTCATGAAAGCTTTGAAACTTATACCTCAGATTTTGCAACATGAACATTGCTTTTCTGTAGTACAATTGTTTAATTAGCAACAAATGTATCATTTTAAAGTTGATACATACTTTCTATATGACATATAGAAAGGTATGAAGTGATAGAAATCTGTTTCTGCGACTTTCTGGTTTTACTCATCACCCAATAATGCAAGTAACCTAGATTCTTTGAAAGACCTAATTATCAAACTTAATAATTTCCACAGATAGTGTACTTTTACAAGATCTAACCTGCCAGAACTTTTAAATTGCTTTTTGTTAACCGCTGGTCCTCCATATGCAATATTTGTTTTCAGAATTATGTTTTGAACTTGTAAACTTGTTAAACAAGTTGTGATAGTATTTTGGTTTTGTTTTTAAAGGAAAGCAACTACTCCCCTTATCAAATAGTGTCCACAGTGGAGTGGGACAAACAACGTGGCAGCCACCTGGAGATACCTCAAACCTGGTCCGCATGAGAAATCAGTCCCTAGGACAGTCTGCTCCTTCCCTTACTGCTGGTTTGGTGAGTGAGTCCGGGAATACTCTTAATGCTTCTGTGCTGTAAATAAGAAGTGGTGTGATCCTATGCTTTTGTTTTTTTTAACCTTGCTTTCCTCTGTTCCTGCTCAGTGAATCCAGCATTTTGTTCCTATGGGCAATTTTTTTGGTAGGGGGTGAATAGGATGAGAGTACACTCATCTTTGATATTTCTGACAGAAAAGCCGGAAAGGAAAAATATGTGTGCAAAATAATTCCTTTTGGGGGAAGCTCCCTCTCAATGCTACTTAGGCTGCCTGATTCCTGGGAGAGAGGGAAAAAAAAAAAAGAAAAAAGGAAAAAAAAAAAAAAGAATCACTGGAAATCTTAGAGGGATGTGAGCATGAGTTGCTTGGTTTAAAACAAGTTTAATGGGAAAACAGCTTTCTGAGTAGCTACCTTCACCTGTTTCCTCAGAGGACAGGTAGCTGAAAGGAGTAACTGTCCAAGGAATTGAAGAGCTGGAGCTGATATTTGCTATTCTGCATGGTTTCTGTCAAAAGGTTTTGGTAAAATAAATGTATTTTTGAAGAATGTTGAGTCTGTTAATCAGCATCTTCTAGGAGAAGAGTATTCTATATGGGAAGGAAATTCAGCTGGCTGTAAGGAAGCCAGCTGATTGCAAACCAAAAGGAACATACCTTTTATTTATAGATGTTCCTGATTTCCTCTAAATATTTAAAATTGCTGAAGTGCAAGGAGAAGAAAAGTTAAGAACAGGACAAGACAGCTCTTCAGTCATATATGCAACATAAATATTGATGAATGGAAGACTAAAAGTAAAGCTTGGAAGCTTTTTTGCCAAATTCCATAGATTTTTGCCTGAATTAAAAAATTTTGCTCACATGAGGTAGTTTTGGTGTTTCAGTTGCATTAGGGTATATGGCTGTAAGAAACTGGGTAAATGGTGTCTTGAATTGTAAGACTGTTTAGAAGCAGTGACCCCTTAAGTAAAATGGTGCACCTTCTAGATAGTTTAGATTGGTAGCCCTTAGAATTTTCTTTTGGGAAGCCTAGATGGTTTGGTACCACCAGGAGGTTTGAAATGAAGCTTGAATCTTTAAACCTGAAAAAGCTATGCATTTGTATTACCAGTAATTTTGATTTTACAATGAAGTATTTGCAGTCTTAGCAATGTTAAGGTATGCTGGTCACATCAATATATTGAAATGCTTCTGATTTGATTGAGTTTTGTTGTGTCTTAGTTTGGTGCCTGTTGATAAAACAGTTCTATTAGTATTTGCCTTAAATATCTGTTCTTAGTGACACTTGTAACTTGACAATATCACCGCAAAGAGAGAATCCTCACATGAACCTGGCATCTAAGTATTTATCTGATGGAGATTTAAAAAAAAAAAAAAGAAGTGATCTGTTAACATACATGCTTATTTTCCAGAGATAGGCAAATGCCTTGGAGCTTTATAGCTTAATTTAATGAAAATAGCTGTGCTTTAAAACAAAGCATTCGTTTTCAGGCATTTAATTCTGACTACTAGTTTGCTTAACCCTTTTGTACTATTCAGTGGGCTGCAGATGTGTTTGTATGTAACACTTACTATTGCATATTGATATGCTAAGTTTCCAGTTTCTAAGGGCACTATTTGTGTTGTCAATCAAATGCTCTTATATGAAATGGGAATGCCAATAACTTATTTTAAAATAATTATTTCTAATTAAAGCTGAGAAATTCAGCTATAAATCCAGTATTTGCCCCTTTTTATTGAAGATGTTAAAAATTGAAATACATGGCTGTTTTCTTGCCTTTATATAGTTTATGGTGGGCTGTATGTTAATTATAGTGCTATTAATTAAGGCTAGAAATTAAGAGTTTTTATATGAAGTGGTGTACTAAAGCAATGACTAGAGAGGTTGTAACAAGATGAACCCCTAATGAAATGCAATGAATTCTGGGATCTTTGAACTAGTTACATATTTGCAGCTGTTTTAATATGCTTGTGGTATTGAAAGATGTTTCACAAATTGCAGCAGCAAAAAACTTCTTGCTAGTATAATTAATCTCCTCTGAAGAGTAGCTCTATTAAGAGATGAGTAGATTCAGTAATAGTGTCATTTTAATATGCCTGTCTTGGTTATTAGTGTCCAGTTCTTTTATTATTTGTTACTATTACAACATATACACAGCAAGACAGAAATGGCAGGTGGTACCAAAAAGACTGACCATTTAAAGCTACATGTATCATTTCTGCTTGTGCTTTATGGTACTGTAGGTAACAGTGGATTTTTCCTTTGCTTAATTGCTTTGCTGGCATTCAATACTGTATTTCTTACTTTCTAACTACTAGTAATCCTACAGACTGTTTGCTGTGCTTGAATTGCATTCTTTTCAACTTTGAAAATATTTGCAAAGCAAAATGATAAATTAAAAATAACAAATCTATAGAAATTAGCTTGCAGCTTTTGAAACAAGACTGATAGCTAGGCTACTTATCAGCAACAACTCAAGAACTGGAAATATATCCAATTCTTACATGCTAAACTGCATAAGCACAGTTCATTGTTTGACAAAATCTTTCAGCTCTTACATGTGCGATAATGTGGATTAATGTGTCTGCACAGCAGTTGTCACTAGATCCTTGGCTTGAGAAAGAAGCCAGCACAGACTGAACGCTGAGTGCTGTCATTGTGAAATGATTGATGTTGATCAGATCTGTATGCCTTCTAAAATATATGTGAGGATTTCAGAGGGTGACCTTCAGTTCATTGTCTGCTGTATTCTACTAGTCTACTGCAAGGCAGATGGCTCTGATTCTAGTGGATTGACTTCTGGTGTGGAACATCCTATGACTTTGTTCAGTATTTAAGATAGGCCTAAGATAGCCAAGGAAGTAAATAGGGGAGGGGGAGAAGACATAGCCACGTTGTTGTGGATGCCTCAGTGATATTTTCCACTCAAAACTCAAAGTAGTGAACACTTAAAAGTAGTAAAAATCCAAATTAGTTTAAAAAAAAAAAAGGCTTGTCAGCTTTAGGAAGGAGAAGGAATTTGGGAAGAGAACGTTTTGATTGTTACAGAGAAAGTAACTTTCTTGCAGTTCTTTATTTTGACAAAACTCAGTGGGTGGAATAGATTGCCAAAAGTATTTATCTCACTACCAATCTCAATGCTATAACGTGCCAGGACTGGAGCTTGTGTGGAAAATGGGTGGTTTTCCCCTGGTGTTAGCTATTGTTAAGGACAGGTTGCTCAACTGGTTTACCACAAGAATACCAAAGGGATATTTACATTGTTTACATCTACTTCTTTCCATTTGGTAAAGAGCATCTCAAGCGCTATCTTTAGCTTTTTGTGAAGGAAACATCTGACAGTGTGCTATCCACTAATTAGGACTACATTTTAAATGCTCTGCTCGCTATCTGATGCCCAGAGAAGTTAGAGATGTTCCAAGAATAAGGAAGCACTCGTGCTCCTATCCTCCTATCGTTATGGCTGTCAAAAAGAAAACACTTGAAGGAGGAATTGCTTTGAAAGAGCTTATCAGTGGAAAAATCTAATTCTGATATATTTGCAAAATAAATTTTGAACTTTTTTTTTCCCTTACAAGCTTCAATTTCTAAACTGCGCCCTTGTTACCTATCCAGAAGTAGCTGTAGAAATGAAAAATTAATCCTTTTCACAAGTGAGGTTGAAGATTCCGGCTGAGTGGTGGTAGCTCTCTCTGGCCTAAATGTTCTTTCTTACACTCTGTACCACACTGCATGTGGTCTGTGCCACTTCTTTATCTTCACAGATGAAGGCTGGTGACTAAGCAGTTGGTGGTCTGTTAATCCTCCAATGCCATTTGCAAGATTTCCTTTTAGGGTCAGTCTCCTCTTCAGAGAATAATTTCAAATGACTCGCAGTTCTGCATTCACTTGGAAAGGTTATGATTTAAGACAAAATGAGACAACTGAGTGTTGTTCACTGTTGCAGAGAGCACCAGTTAGATCACCTTTCACTGGTCTCATTCCACAGGAAGTGGTAAAAAGCAGCCTCTTAGCTTTTGAGTAGTAATCTGCAGGCTACAAAGGCTCAGATGCAAGGATTTGAAATCACTAACAAGCTGAAGAACTTCCTACGTTGAATAACGCTGGACCGGTGACATTCCCCAGTCAGCCTGATTTATTTTCAGTGTTTAGTTTCACAAGGATGTATGGATTAGCTAATACTGAGTGGAATGAGGAAAGCAGCCGTTTTTGAGATAGTGGGCCCTTTGGACTATGGGGAAGCATGTATTGGCAGGCCGGTAACTGAGACCGACTTCAGTGTGGCACGTTATCTTTGTCTGAGCTGGGGCGTGCTTTTTAGATGTGTGAGAGAATATTTACTCTTGATTTTTCTAAATTTTTACTCTTTTGCTTTTTGATTTAGTTTTAGATGTGTTAGGAATAGAATTAATTCTTTCTGATAGACTCCTAATAGTGTATTTTCAGTACACAGTTTGTCCTTTCTGCACTAGTAGCAGAAGCAGAGCTCTTTATTGCAAAAGGATGCACTGCAAAACGCTATCACTCGTGGCTGCTAAGAGTGGCTGGTGGGCTACAGGTTTGGGTGTGGGTTTGACAACTTCAGTAATCCCGTTTAAATTAATGTGCAATTGCGAATTTCTGCAAAGCTGGGTAAGGAATTTGTGGTGCTGTTCTGCCATCTGCTGGTGAGCATGTGCCTATTGCCAGCAACAACCTAACTCCCAGGGCTAGTAAATTGCTGGGGGCAGTTTTCAGGGATCCTGGGAAACATTAGCGATTTCATAGTACAAGACTGTTGTTTCTGGGATTGTGTTCCACTTGTGAATGACCCGGCCTTGGACTGTAAATTAGCTTCATATTTTAGCGCTGTATCCTGGCAAGCCACATGTTTCGTGGCAAACAACGGTCTTGTTCTGGTAGCAGAAAGATGATGGTTGGAATAGTTAAGGGAAAAAAACAAGTGTTCTTCCCCTCCTCCCCCCCCCCCAAAAAAAAAAAGATAAAAATGATTATTTTTAC